CACGCCTCCAGACACATACAAATGGATGCCTCTGCTGCCTGTCACAATTAAACACTTGTGTAGATGGGGCTTGTCTTGAAATAAATTCAGGAAGAAAAGAAATGCACATCTCATCAGTGATGCTTCTCATTTGAATGCTTTCAATATTTGTGTCCAGAGAAATCAGTGTAGTGAGTATTTGTGGACAACACGTATTGCGTTGAGGGGACATTTCATGGAAAACAGGATTTTCCTCGCTCTTCTGAAACAAAAGAAGTTTGATGTGCTGTGTCACCGTAGTCTAATGTTCATAACACAATCCACCCATAACCCAGTCCACACAGATCAGTTATGGATATTAGGCAGAAAAATTGGGCATGCTGCATGAAAAGAGGCAAATTTGGAAATATAAGGGTTTCATAGACAGATTTGCTGGATGTGTGTGGAAACAACTGACCCGAGTAACACAGTACAGTACATTTTAGTAAGAAGCCAGATCTTTAAAATACGAAAATATGAACATGAAATAAACAGCTGAATTCAAAATGTGTCACCATTATGATGTCAGAACTATAAGAACATTAATATATGACTGTGCATATTTACATATCAATGAATATTCATTCCGTGTTCAACAGTACTGTTAAAAATGTTACATTTGGTAGTTTTTATTTTTAAAATTATTTTTCTTTTCGGTTTTTAGTATTTTCTAAAAATAATGTATATATTGTATATATATATATATATATATATATATATACACACACACACACACAATATAAGTCGCTTAAAAGTATATAGATATATTATATATAATTAAGATCTAACTTTTAAGCAATGTTTTATGTACCAGAAAAATATATTTTTCAATCAATCTTATATTTATTTATTTTTTAACAACAATAACTGTAAAACAATGCAATGTTCAATTACAGCTGGAATTTTACATTATACTATAGTCACCTATGCTTTACATTATGCTATAGTCACTATAGCATAAGTGACGTGTGTGCAATCCTTTTGACGTGTCCTGAAGGATCAACTCATCCTCTTTTAACCAAAATGACTGCAAAGAACAGCATGTCCGTATGACGTTTTTAGATCTGCGTGTGTCTTACATAACTGATCACTCAATGGACTCGCACAAGTGTGTTAACAAAGTATCAGGAGTGGGCCCGCCAGACCTCTCCAGCCCTGCCGCGTGCCCGGACGCGCTTGGCATATTGAAAACAGGCCTTCACACATACTGGCAAACAGCACCATGGGAGAAACACTCGCCAAGCTCTCAGTGTCAGTCCCTGACCATAAACCAGCAGCCGACTAAGGCAAAGTGCCATGGCGAGCTCTTGACAGAAGGACCGTTGTTTCCGAGGAGAAGGGCCTGAAGTGTGTGTGTATAAGCATACAGGAGAGTGTTGCTTCTCGGATGCTGAGATACAATCAAAAATCTCCATTCTTATCAGCTTCAAAGCCCCATTGAGTCTTAAAAAAGATGAAAGGAGAATGAGTAATTCAGCCAGCATGTAACTTTTCAACTGAGCACAATAATAGCGCAACAAATACAGACACAGTGTAATGTGCGTGATTCTTTAATTTATTTTCAGCATAAGTCAGATGTGAATGAATGTTGCTGGATATAATGAAGGACTTTCTGTTAGGACAGAAGAGACTCAGGCTATTGCTCAGCAGAAACATTCATTCATTTACAGCTCATTCACAGGTAAATGACACAACTAAGCCAAATCACACATGAACGAGACGGGAGAGATAATCGCTCAAAAAGAGATGTTAAAAGAGACCGAATTACAACGTCAAAATGAAAAGATCGATACTGACACAAAGAGAGAGTTTTAAAGCTTACATAAAAAGAGCTACGGAATGACCGGAATGATGTTTTTCGGACAACTTTTTAAATGAATATACACTATCATTTTAAACTCAGCCTTTTTAAAAAGAAATCTATGCTTTTGTTTAGCAAGGACGCATTAAATTGGTCAAAAGCGACAGTAAAGACATTTAAAATGTTACAAAAGATTTGTTTTAAATAATGCTGCTCTTTTTGTTCTTTCTATTCATCAGAAAATCCTGAAAAAAGTATTACGGATTCCACAAAAATATTAAGCAGCACAACTGTTTTCAACATTGCTAAAAATAAGCTTCTGTTTCTTGAGCAGCAAAGCAGCATATTAGAATGACTTTTGAAGGCAAATTCAGCTCTGCCATTTTTAATAAATTAAATTATTCACAGGTACATTATTTTAAATATATATATATATATATACTTGTACTGAGATTTAGATTTTTTTGCATTAATTTAATGCGTGTCTGCATTCATGAGTATTAGTATGAAGTACATGTGTTTGTCAGTATATGAAAGCAAGTGTGTGTGTGTTCTGATCTGTTAACCATCTCATTAACTTGATATGTAATAAAGGGTTACACATATAAGTACTGACTAATATTAATGAACGTCTCAGGTTACTTATGTAACCATGGTTCCCTGAGTAGGGAACGAGACACTGCGTCCTCTAGG